CCCAGCTCAGCCGCTGCTGAAACGGCCCAGCGGCTGACTACAGGAAGCCCGAGGCAGAGTTGCTCTGGGGTGCTGCCAGGTTGGTCCCCGCAGCACTGAGGTGTGGTCCCCGCTGCCAGGTTGGTCCCCGCAGCACTTTTCCTTTGAAGAGCTGCATGCGGTTCGTGAGCCACAGGTTGGCCACCCCTGTGACAGAGGTCTAAAAAATCATTATGGATATGGAGAAAGTAACATAAGAACTCAGGGTCACCAAATGAAATGAATTGGTAGCAGGTTTAAATCAAAAGGAAGTATTTCTTCAGACAGGGCAGGGTCCACCTGTGGAACTCCTTGCCAGAGGATGTTGTGAAGGTCAGGACTTTAACAGGGTTCAAAAAAGAACCAGATAACTGGAATATTTAGATAACCGGAACGCCCTGAGCATACCGGATAACATAGGTTTTACTGTAAATTCAAATGAAAAATAAGGAGCGGATTTTTAAATGAGGATGATTAACCACTGGAGCAAATTTACCTAGGAAAGTGGTAGATTCTTTCACTTGACGTACTTAAATAAAGATTAGGTGCCTATATGAAGGATATATTCCAGCTCAGGGATTTTGAACCTTTTTCTTTCTAAGTGTCCTCTCTCTACACCCTAGCAAGCAGGGCAGTTGCCACTGGGGCCTCCCACAAAGCTAAGTTCAGCTTCAGCCCCGGATGATGGGGCTCGGGACTGCAGACTTCAGCTCCATGTGGTGGGGCTCTAACTTTCCACTCTGGGCCCCAGTGAGACTTAAACTGGCATGCTTGGCAGACCTCCCTGAAACCTACTCATGGACCCTAGAGTGAGACCCACTGCTTTAACTCAGCTGAAAGTCATGGGCTTGATGCAGGAATCATTGGGTGACATTCTATGCTCTGTCTTATAAGGGATGTCAGACGAGTTGATCGTAATGATCCCTCCGGCTATATTATCTATGAATTTCAACATGATGGCAAATTAAGCAACCAAAGACACAATAAAGTGAAATACACAAAAGGCCAGTTTGCATTATACCTCAGTTAATTACAGAGCTTGGACATATTGTTCTACACTGCAACGTATCATTAAGCTACCAATAAATCAAGTAAAATTCTCAGTTGATTAGGTGTGCTCATAACTGTGTCAAAAGATTGATCAGCTCTCTTGGCCTCCTTGTGACTCTGGTTCTTAGTTACTCCTGGTAAACTGTTCAGAATCAGTCTCTCCATCTCCTGTAGAATGGTTAGGACAGCGTAGCCAGGCCTTACACATATGTATGCACATGCAAATTCACTACTTGTTTGTTCCTGTTCCAGATGCTCTGTACGATGTCATCACAGTGGGAGCCCCTGCAGCACATTATCAGGGATTTAAGAATGGTGGTCTTCGGAAACTGCTAAGTAAATTTGAGGCGGAGAGGAGAAAGTAAGTACTTCGATAAATGAGGAAAATAATGCTTAAGTTGCACTAGTATGATATCTGCTAATCAAATAGTACATTTTATTTATTAAATGCATAATAGTGTGTTTGGACCAGTTAAAGCACTTTGCATGAAACAGTTCTCCTCTTCAGTAGGTTGCTTTAAATTTGTTTGGGATATTTTATTTAGCTAGATTTATTTTTTATCTCTGAACTCAACAATAAAGCCCTAATAATGTTTTCTCTCTGTATTCCTAAGAAATACTTAATCTTGGAAACATGACTAAAAGTGCCTTGTGCTAAGTGGAGAATAATTGTAACTACATTTCAGTGCAGTTTCTTGTAATAGTTATATGTATCGTATCTATAGTTAGCACTTTCCCTTTTTCAGAGTACTATAAAATGTTTAAAAAAAAAACCCAAATGGTCTGGTAGCACTTTATAGACTAACGAAACATGTAGATGGCATCATGAGCTAAGTGGGCTGTGCCCATGAAAGCTTATGCTACGTGTTTCATTAGTCTCTAAAGTGCTACCAGACCATTTATTATTATTGTTTCTGTAACAGACTAATTCGGCTACCCCCTGAAGCTCATGCAAAGATTATTTAACATTTCTAAGTCCCCTGTGAAGTAAGTAAGAAAATATTATTATTCCCACACTGAAAAATGGAAAGTAGACTCAGGAAGAAAAGGTTTTATTATAGCCCCAGTTTTGTAATGCACTTATGCACATCAATTATTTTTATGACTAAGCATGGAATTATGCATGTTTTGTAGAATTGGAGCCCTTTAGATGTTCTGAGCAGTTGCAACTCCCACGGAACTCGATTCGAACTTGGATTCGAACTCACACTGGCATGCTCACTACTCTAGATCCCAGTGATTCTCCATAGAAGAGCAATTGCGTTTTCAATCCAATGCTCAACAAAGTTGTTATTATTCAGTATCAGAGAATGAAACAGGAAGTGATACAGATTAACTGTTTTTCAGTGTCACCTAGAAAAGGTTTTGAATTAACCCCTAATGCACTCAGCTTGCATTTTTCTTTAGTCATTCATTAAT